CGACATTCTCTGTAATCCATTTCTCCTTTTTCATGGACTCTTCAGTCTCCTCTACCTTGCAGCCGCAAAGCACCAAACACAATATAATGTGCACTCGTTGCTTGTAGCAATTGCTTAGCATATCTCGTCGTCGGCAGTCAAACAAGGTACCCCAAAGTCATCTGAAGTTGTGAAGGGCTATAGTGTCTCAACAAAAGTCGAGTATTGACCGGCCCAAGCAAAGGTTTTGTTTAGTTCCTTTTTGGCTGTCAGCGCTCGTCTAGTGAAGAGGGTTCAATTGGATATGCCATTGATGCTCGTCCATCATCAGTTTCCAATGACAATTCTATGCTTTAAATTATTCTATTGGATACTTAGTGAATTTTAAGTCCTCCTAAATTTGGATATGCGAACTCTTATAATTTTTTTCACATAATCAACCATGATATATTTTTGATTGAATCTGCAAAGAAATATTACTGATTTGTATTATTATGAGCAGCTTAGGTGATCGATCATTATTCTTGAACGATAATGATCATCAAATACTTTCGATCTTGGCTCATAACACTCGGGTGGATAATCGTATATATCTCATTGGCACATGATCAAATCATGCTAATTAAACTATAAAAATTATTACTTTAAAAAAATAATCAAACAACCATAATATTTTTGTCATTATAGATCATCCTAAATTTTGATTGCGATGGATTAACATTATAACTTTGATATTTAACTATGCTTCGTTTTGCAAACCTTTTTTTTTCCAAAAATTTTATGTATAAAAATATGATAACTCTTATTGTGGGTCCAAATAAAATAAAATAAAAATTATTTGATGATCAACTATGTTTCACTTTATCATTTTTATTTATTATATTATTAAAATTTCATTAATAAAACATGTCTAAAAATATTTTTATCTTTTTTGACAGCTGTGGGATTTGAACCCACGCCCTTTCAGACCAGAGCCTAAATCTGGCGCCTTAGACCACTCGGCCAAACTGTCAATTGTGATAATTTTCTTTATAATTTATATTTATTGAATTACCTTATGCTGTTTCCTAATAATTGGATGGCAATCTTTTTCTCTTATGTTAATCTGCACTGCACAGGAAGACAACAATCGAAGCGATACAGCAGAAGCGTAAATGCTGGAGAATGGCTGATAAGACTTGTGCTTATCATCTCCCTCACTAATGTTTATGTTAGGCAAATGCAGTATAAGTACCTTCTGAGACGGTAACAGCAGCCAAGAACACTCCCGACCACCATCGCAGCCTATTCAGCGGCGCATGTCTTCCTCTTCCTCTTCCTCCTTGCCTCGGCTGCCGCCGTTACGGTCGCTGATGTTGTGCTCGACAACTTATCAGGAGGCTGAGTGCAGGCACCCCGGAGCTTTTCCGGCGATCCTTTATCATGTGAAGAACCTTTGGTGATAGCTTCTTCAGCAGAAGTCGTAAGGACCTGTTCATCCCTCTTGATACTTCCTGATGCTCCTCTGGCTTCGGCTTCAGGTGCATTCACCTTCTCGGTTCCAACAGTTGCCACCATAGAGTTCTCATTGATGTCATCAACGCCATGGACGGCCGCTCTCTCCGTGTTGTCTACTTCTCTGTAGGACTGCACGAGACTCTGCTCACCAAAGCACAAGGTGGCACTGATCCTATTGTAGTGCTTGGATTAGCTTGCTCGAAGAAAGCTACAGCGTGAAGGACACACGAACTTCATGACAGGCGATCTTCCATATCCGACAAACTGGCGGTCGGTTTATGGTGATTCCATCTCTGTAGTAGCAGCATCAACATTCCATCGCAGTTATGAAAGGGGAAGAAGGTGTGGTTAAAACATGAATCGATCGTTGACTCCGGCAGAGATTAATGCAGATGTCAAACCTGCCCTTTTAATTGTTCATTTGGTTCCTCATGGCCAAATCCTTCTCCTCCTATCAATTCGAAGTATCCATCAGAATCACCCAATCAGAAGTCATGAACAGGGAGAGGCTTAACGTGACTTGAGGGCTGAGGGCGGTTGGACGCGCGGGTCCCGAGAGCGGACCGGCCGAGCTACCACGTGTTGCCACGTAAGCAAAGATAGGATTTGATGACCTCGTGTCCTGCCAAAACCACATTCATGCGGCTGTCGCCAGACATGACCTGTCGCAAGGTTGGCAGTAGATTTGCCGGCGGAAGCACCGGAAGTTGTCGGATCACCACTTTAACCTCAGCAGAACTACCGAATGTGCCGTACGTTTAATCCGTACTGATACTTCACGGCTCGTTTCGTTAATTCCTTCTATATTAAAATACTATTAAGTTCTTCAAGTATGTGCATTGTGCATATTAGCCACTTCTCAGTATTGTTTCTAGAAAATTCTGGAAAGTTTCCCTACAAAGACCAATAATAAAGCAATCGATACGTTAGAGGATGACATCCTTTTATAGTTAAACAGAATTTGACTATCAAAATAACAAAGCTAGCAGCCAACCTAATCATAATGCATTCACATGTTAACTAAATCATCGAAGAATCAAGCAAGATTAAGTTCCTAAACTAAATCATGACATGTTTTAATAAAATAGTGATACGGTTGATGAGGGTAATAATTACGATAAGGCTCGCGTGACATCAGTTGCTCCGGATGACGCATCACGCCTCTGTTGACCTGATGAGGCACCTGGTCAACGTGGACCGGAACGCCTACCAAGGCGCATTAACGTCTTCCTCAAGTTTGACCCCTCACGCCACGCCAACGGTAACGTTAGACGCTACCAGAAGTACGATCCTGCTCCCTGCGGACCAACACATCAGGCAACGATAATTCTCACTATAAAAACCCTCGTGCTTTGAGGAAAGGAGGGGATGGAGAAAAAAGAAGACACAACTTAGCTAAAGAAACCCCCCGCGACTACCCACTAACTTGATTGTCGGAGGGGTCGGGTCGAGCTCCCCGACCCGACCTTTGTGCAGGTGCGAGGTCGGAGGTTGTCCACTAAATGCGCAGGCAATGAGTCCTTTCCCGGTGGAAACGATGACCCCGTCCCGATCGGACCAACGCAATCGGTCGCCTCAGTAGTCTCGGGAAACGTCCCAAGGAGATCCCCTATCATTCGGACCCAAACTAAACCGTGACGACCCTGAGGCCACGGCTTGAAGTTGTTTACACCAACAACGGTTAACAAAAATATTAGGCACATGATACATGTTAGGGAGTGTAGCTCCGAAAGCTAAATTCATTCCCCAACTGATACGAAAATATGTTAAGGAATATAGCTCCAACGTATTAACTTTGTGTGACCGGCAGCATATCGATACATCATCTTCACTTGTTCATCATATCGATCGCATTTGATCGACATGTCATAGAGGGCTAAAACCTACGATGCTGATAGCGTGGCTTCATTAAGAAGATCGACTTAACTCTATATGATAAATCATGTATTTATCAAGTTCATCATAACACATTACTCTATAATCTCATTTATGGTCCAACGGCAAGTATAACTGTTCACGCATTAATCATGACCTTAACTAATAGTCGCATATCACACTATAAAAAAACCATGAATATATTATTTCTCTATTTTGATTATTTTTTACTAATTATATTTTATATATTTAATATTTAATTAAATTCTTTGAATTCAAACTAACTTAAACTTTGGAGATGTCTTGTTAAATATGCCCTGACACAATTCTTACAATATTTCAGCTCGGACGATACCATTACAATCGATGAGAAATTTGAAATTATAGTAATTACTTGTTTCGTGCTTCACACACTTGGAAATCATTATAGTAATTACTTTGGGGTTAGGTAATCCTTCTTAATGATCTTATCCAATCAACATACTAGAAGATCCTCGGCATATAGTCCACCTCAATTGCAAGTTAGGTAACATAACATATTACAAGAAGGATATGACTCCATCTTTACTCCTACTGAAAGACTATCGGTACTTGTTTGAATATTTATTTTTTTATTTTAACATTTGAAGAACAAATATTGTATGTAATTCTACTTTTATATTAAACCCTCATTATGATATAACTAAATCAAATATGAGCTAAAGTGATGATTAATTGGGATATAATTTTCCTTCGCTATGTTGCAAATAGAGGAAGGTTTATTCCTAAATCTTTAGAAGTTGAGCACCATCTAACTTCTATATCTTGCACTTGAGCACTCAAAAGACACAACCTTGAAGGAGAGTGAGTCTTGAACAATGACCGGGGGAGAGGAGGAAAATGTGTGAAAAGAAGTATTTTTTTCAAGGCGGATAGTGTTAAAAGTTTGACGGAGTATTCATGACCCTTTTTACGAAAAGATTATTATAATTTATCATTAATATTTGTGTCGATGGTTGATGTAAATGCCTACGGACATAGGTGACAAAGAAAATAAATACGATACATCTTTGTCAAACTATCTAATTATAATTAATTTTTTATTCTTAAATATTAATATATAAGATTTGAGTACGATAAAGAAAGGTTTTTTTTCGTTTGTTTGACGTCACAAAGCTAACAACTACCTCAAAGGAGAGTGAGTCTTAGGCGCTGACCGGGGGAGAAGAGGAAAACATGCAAGAAGAAGGGATAATAGTGTTAAAAGTTTGACAAAATATTCATGACCATAAACATAGACGAGTTGACGGTTGATGTAAATATCTATAGGTGACAAAGAAAATAAATAAGATACATCTTTGTCAAACTATCTAATTATAATTATTTTTTTATTACTTAAATATTAATATATAAGATTTGAAGAGTATTAATACGAAAAAGAAAGGTTTTTTTTTTATATTTGTTTGACGTCAAAAAGCTAACGACAACAACCACCATGAAATCAATGCAAGAAATCCCAAGTCAAAGATCGATGGCAGCAACTTGGTTGGGGAAGCGGTGGGGCCCGTTATGTGATCGGAAGTGGGTCCATGGAAGAACAAACCCTGCGTCACATCGTCTGATTCGATAAGCACACGGACACACGTGCGATCTTTATTCCCTTTGCTTCTTTGACCACCCAAACTGCCCCAAATGGCCTCGGCCTCTTGGGATGAGCGAGAGGCCATCGGAGGAGGCCATCCGATGGCTTCACTTCCCTCGCAGGTAATTGCGCGTGCGACAGCCACACAGGAGGACGATGACGACGACGGAGGAGAGGGCCTATTCGTATTATTCTTTGACGGAAGCCCGCGAGGATGGAGACGTCCATGTAGATGAATTTGGACGTCCTTCCTTCTCATCGGCAGCAATCCCAACTTTCCGGAGAACTAGCATGCGAGTAGAAAGGAATCCTGTACAAGTACCAGTCCGATCAACGATTTCGGCTTTGAATCCACCAGAGACTTAGTTGCTTTTAGGGCAAGGTTTACTGTGCTCCTGACGCAACCCCCAACCCGACTAATGGTCAACAAGGTCGGCCCCTTCTTGCACTGCGAAGACTGGGAGAGTCAAAGGGGGCTTCTCGTCTGGTACAGATCACGATGCAATTCAAACCAAACAAGCAATCTGTGAGGTGTGTGTGCTGGTTTTGTCTAGAAGAAAGTTCGGATTTCCTCGGGCTGATGCTAATATGAGATGGTTGGAGGAGGGCGAACAGGCGACGAGGTGGAGGACAAGATATAGGAGATCTGATTTGTTTATTCTTGTGGTGTGATTTCGGCCTGCTGCTCTTGTTTCGATGTTAGCAGCTGGGACATGTCGGCGGAGAAGGTGAGCTTCTGCTGTTGCATCAGCTTCCTGATGCTGTCTTCGGTTTTTGTCTCAGGTACTGCGTCTCTGTTCTCCTTTCTTTATGGTCCACGAATCGTTTTGGGAGCAGGGATTGGATCGGCTTTGCATCTTCTGCAGGTGAGGCGGTCCCCGGCGGCGGCGGCGCCTCCGACAAGGATGTACTGCTCCGGCTCAAACGCCATCTCCAAGCCAAGAATCCGATCTACCAAGGAGCCTACGCTCGGTGGAACGAGCCGGACCCCTCCCCTTGCGGTTGGGAGGGCATCACCTGCAACGACGCCGACCGTGTCGTCGGCGTCAACCTCGCGGGATCCAACATAGCCGGTGAAATCTTCCCCGGCTTCTCCTTCCTCACCGAACTCGCCCGCCTCGACCTCTCCTCCAACACCATCGGCGGCCAGCTCCCCCCCGACCTCAACAAATGCAGCGGCCTCCGGTACCTCAACGTCTCCCACAACCTCATCGGCGGCGAGCTGAACCTGACCGGGCTGGTCAACCTCGAGACGCTCGACCTCACCCTCAACCGATTCAACGGTAGCATCCGCCACAACTTCCCTGCACTGTGTGCCAATCTGGTTAGCCTCAACGTTTCCACCAACGGCTTCGCCGGCGACATCACCGGGTGCTTCGACCACTGCCCCAAGCTCAAGTTCCTGGACCTGAGCTCCAACCAGTTCAGCGGGCGGATATGGCTAGGCTTCCCTAACCTGCGGGAGTTCTCTGTCGCCGAGAACAGCCTCGTTGGGGGATTTCCGTCGAGCACCTTCGGGTCAACTTGCGACCTCGAGATTTTGGACCTCTCGGCGAACAACTTCTCTGGGGCGTTCCCGGACTCGATCGCCAATTGCTCGAAGCTGACGTCTTTGAACCTGTGGGGGAATGTATTCACCGGCACGATACCCTGCGCCATCGGCTTGCTCTCGGAGCTCAGCGCGCTCAACCTGGGGAATAACTCGTTCGACCCGGAAATCCCCCAGGAATTGGTGAACTTGACCAAGCTAGTGTTTCTCGATTTCAGCAACAGCGGCTTCAACGGCGACATCCAAGAAATCTTCGGCCGATTCGCGGCGATGAGTTACCTCATCCTTCAAGGGAACCAGTACACCGGAGGCATCGCGTCGTCGGGGATTCTCAAGCTTCCCAACCTCGTGAGGTTAGACCTGAGCTTCAATCGTTTATCCGGCAACATCCCCGTGGGGATCACGAGAATGCCGACGCTCAAGATCTTGATCCTCGCCGGTAATGAGTTCTCTGGCGGCATTCCGCCGGATTTCGGCAGCATGGCCGGAGTTCAGTTACTGGACCTTTCGTACAACAAGCTCACCGGCTCGATCCCCGCGGCCATCGGCAAATTGACGTCCCTCCTCTGGCTGATGCTTGCGGAAAACAATCTCACCGGCGAGATCCCCCCGGAGATCGGCAATTGCAGCAGCTTGATGTGGCTGAACCTTCGCAACAATCAGCTCTCCGGCAGGATACCGCCGGAGATATCGGCGATGGGGAAGGACCCGTTCCCCACGTTCGAGGCCAACCGCCGCGAGATTATCGGCGTCGCCGCCGGCTCCGGCGAGTGCCTGGCCATGAAGCGGTGGATCCCCGCGAGCTACCCGCCCTTCAACTTCATCTACGCGCTAATGACGAGGAAGACCTGCCGGGACACTTGGGACCGCCTCCTGAAGGGTTACGGGATCTTCCAGTTCTGCGCCAACTCCACGTCCGGGGTCCGAACCCTAGCCATCTCCGGCTATCTCCAGTTCTCCCTAAACCGGCTCTCGGGCGAGATCCCGCCGGAGATCGGGAGGATGATGAACTTCAGCATGATCCAGCTCTCCGCCAACCGGCTTTCCGGCCGCCTACCGACTGAAATTGGTAAGGTGCCGCTCGTCGTTCTCAACGTCTCCCACAACGGGCTGTCCGGCGGGATCCCGGAGGAGATCGGCTTCCTGCGGTGCCTCTCGAGTTTGGATCTCTCCCGGAACAACTTCTCCGGCGAGCTGCCGTCGAGCCTGAACGGCCTTTCCGAGCTGAACAAGTTCAATGTCTCCTACAATCCCCTGCTCTCCGGCGTGGTACCAACGAACGGCCAGATCGCCACCTTTGGAAATGACAGCTTCCTCGGTGACCCCCTCATCAGCTTCGCCTCCTCGTCCGCCCGCGACACGCCGCCGGTCACCCGAAACAACGGCCCCGCTGGAGAGGGCGGGCGTTGGCGGGTGGCGGCGTTCTGGGTGTTCTTCGCTCTCAGCTCGGCCTTCGTCTTGTGCGGCGCGCTCTCCTTGGCGGTCCTCTGCCTCGGTGGCGCCCGCGCGGCGGTGGACACGTACGCGGACCCGGAACCCGAGCCGGAGGGGTTGCTTCTGGACGGCGCGAAGTGTCGGAGCGACGCTTGCAGGTCGTCGACGGTGACGTCAACGTCCACGTCGTCGGCGGAGGGTGTGTCGGGCTGCTCGTCGAAGGGCAGCGCGGGGGTCAGGGTTTTCCGGCTGGACCGGGGGGCAGAGGGGTTGACATTTACATACGACGACATAGTGGCGGCGACGGGGAACTTCGACGAGAGGATGGTGGTAGGCCGGGGCGGGCACGGGGTGGTGTACCGGGGGGTGCTACCGGACGGGCGGCGAGTGGCAGTGAAGAAGCTGCAGCGGAGGGGGAACGGAAGAGGGGAGGAGGAGGACGAGGGTGAACGGGAGTTCCGGGCGGAGATGGAGGTGATGACTGGGCGTGGCCACCCAAACATGGTGGCGCTGCACGGGTGGTGCCTGGCGGGGGCGGCGCGGCTGCTGGTGTACGAGTACATGGAGGGGGGCAGCCTGGAGGAGGTGATCGAAGAGTGGGGGCGGTTCGGGTGGGAGCGGCGGCTGGCGGCGGCGACGGGGGTGGCGCGGGCGCTGGCGTTCCTGCACCACGAGTGCACCCCCGCGGTGGTGCACCGGGACGTGAAGGCGAGCAACGTGATGCTGGACGCGCGGGGACGGGCGCGGGTGACGGACTTCGGGCTGGCCCGCGCCGTGGAGGCCGGAGAGAGCCACGTCAGCACGGTGGTGGCCGGGACGGTGGGGTACGTGGCGCCGGAGTACGGGAGAACGTGGAGGGCCACCACGCGGGGCGACGTGTACAGCTTCGGCGTGCTGGCCATGGAGCTGGCGACGGGCCGCCGGGCGTTGGACGGTGGGGAGGAGTCCCTGGTGGAGAGGGTGAGACGGGCGGCGGCGCAGGAGGTGGGGTTGCGGCTGGTGGGGGCGGCGGGGGAGGAGCCGGGCGAGGGGGTGACGGCGATGCTGGGGCTACTGATGGTGGGGCTGCGCTGCACTGCAGAGTCCCCGCAGGCGAGGCCGGACATGAGGGAGGTGCTGGGGAAGCTGCTGAGGATATGCAACAGCAGTGGCATCGGCGCTAGCGAGGTGGGCAGCAGCGATACTTCTCCTCCCCCTCATTGGTCGCTGCAGAGCCACAGCACATCATCTTCTTCCTCGGTGAAGAGCTACTGGGAAGGATACTTCTGACAGCTAACCACCGTTCAGCATCACACATGAGATAGTCGATGTACAGATATCCCCACTTGTTCAAAAGTTTTAATGGGATACATACGATATTTCAATTTTTTTATAAGATAAATAACAGATTGTGGTGTTTTGCATGGAAGGGATGTGTTTGATGTTTTTCCAGAATTAAAAATTTGAGAACTGTGTAACATATTCCTTTTGAGTAATTTATCTTTTCTTCTTCTTGATAGATCTAAGGATCATAAAACTTCTTTATAGCTCATAGGGAGGCGCAAGTTGACTTAGTTGCTCGAGAACCACTCCCCCGATGATCGATCTATATCACTTCTCGTGGGTTACGATCTACGATGATCGATAGATCGTTGCCTTATTATTGATCGTGGGGGGATGACCTAAGCCTCATGTCTTCTACGTCAGCTCTTTGATGGTCAGTTGACGTGTTATGATTAATATCAAAATATTTTCTATTATAGATAATTATCCTTTCTTTTAACATATTACAGAATGTTTTATTACTTTTACCTATACAATTATGTCCGTCCAAGTTTTAGGAAACTACCTGCATAAAAGTTATACATTATTGAAATTAGGGTTATATGAGATTAACAAAGAGCCTCTCAATTGCCCTGTACATGTTTCCTCCTCAAATGTCATACTTTGTGTTGGTATGCTCCTGCAACATTTAACTTCGACATCAGAGAAAACAGAATCCAAAGAAGCATAGCAACTGATAGCTCGAAAAGCAAAGGAATTATCGATTCATTAGATAAATCTAAGATGATCTTTTACTGCTCAAATTCTGTCCAACGTTACCTCTTCACTCCATCATCATGCAATTCCGGATTTGTTGGTGCAGGTGGCTACGGTGCTTGTGAAGCTCTCGTTCAAGCTCACTCCGTCGTCATGAATTGGATGACTTTCGAGTGTATTATTTGAATTAAACTTGTTTAAGTACCATAAAAAGATTCATTTTATCAAAAGAAAGATTCATTGAGGAAGATTCATTACATCAAAAAGAAAAAATAGATTAAAAGTTTCTGAAAAATAAATCAAATTGGTTATTGGTTTTTGAAAGATTTAAAAAAAGAATAATTCATCTTGAATATAATTAATGTAATGTATCTTTGAGTATTATATAAACCCCATATGTTGGGTCATGAAATAGATATAGTTTTTGAAATTGTAAAGAGTTTTTCTTGAGAGAAATATAGAAGATTGAAGCTTATCATACTCTTCCTTTGATAACTCTATCAATTCTTCCTATCAAGATCAACATTTGGTATCAGAGCATAGGTTAAGCTATGACCTCTTCCTCATGTATCATCCAACTCCAGATTCCCAGATTGACAAAAGAAAATTATGACATATGGTGCATCCAAATGAAGGTTCTTCTAGGCTCCCAAGATGTATGAAAGTTTATAAAATATGAATTTGTTGAACCAAGTCCAATGGAAGGAGCAATGAATGCAGAAGGAAGAAAATAACTCAAATAAAGAAAGAAGAAGGAGAAAAAAGCTTTGTTCACGATATACCAATGGCTTGATGATACAATGTTCAAGATCATCACTCTAGCAAATACTTCAAAAGAGGCTTGGGAAATGCTTCAAAAAGCATTCGGTGGTATTGATAAGGTAAAGAAACTTTGTCTACAAGTTTTACGAGTCTAGTTTGAAAAATTATAACAAGGTACTTCTGAAACTATTTTTTATTATTTCTCAAAAATCATTTATATTATTTGAGACAAAATGGTAAACAAATAAATGATTAGAGAATAATAGAAAAAATACTAAGATCTCTAGGTCCAAAATTTGATTTTATTGCTATTAAGATTAAAAAATCTAAAGATTTGAAAAAAATATATTTATAAGAACTTATGAGTTCCCTTCAAGTTTATGAACAAAGGATTATAAAAAGAGGAGAAGACAAAACTATGGAGTAAGCACTACAAACGAAACTTATTTTTAAAAATAAAGATGAATCAAATTCTCAAAGAGGAAGAGGACGAGGACAAAAAGAAAGAGTAGGTAGAAATTAAATCAATCAAGAATCTTCAAACAATGAAGATGCCGGAGAAAATTCTAGTCAAAGAGGTTGAGGTTATGGTCGAGGACATGACCGAGGCCGTGGACATGACAGAAACTCTAAAAGGTCTGAAATATAATATTATATTTACAAAAGGTATGTATATTACTCTATGAATGTTATTATAATCCTAACAATTAAGGTGATAAGATATTTTATTGAGGAAGAAAAGAACGAAAATCAAGTTTTGCTAATGAGTTATGATAATTTGAAAGAGGATCAGTCTATGACGTGGTCTCTAGATACAAGAGTCTCACATCACATGTGTGACATCAAAGAGTTATTTTCAGAAATAGATACAAGTTATTCTGGAAATATTACATTTGGTGATTTATCTCAAAGATGAGTAAGAGACATTGGTAAAATTCTCCTTGAACTTAATAATGACAAAGAATTATGCATTTCAGATGTTTATTATGTTCCTGGTATGAAAAATAATATTCTAAGCTTTGGACAATTGCTTAAAAAAGGTTATGATATTGAGATGAAAGATATGACTCTCTCAATTCGTGACAAGAATAGAACATTGATATCACATGTGAAAATAATAAAGAATAGAATATTTTCTCTACATTTAAGTATTTTTGATCAATCAAATTATTTTAAAGCTAATATTGAGGATATTTCTACACTTTGGCATCTTAGATATGCTCACTTAAATTTTGAGGCTTTGAAACTTCTAAAGAAGTATAATATGGTGACAAGAATCCCAAAAATTGATCGCTTATCAAAATTATGCTAAGTATGTGTCATGGGCAAGCAAGAAAGAAAGCCTTTCAAAGTTAGAAGAACAAAAAAGCATGGCATCGACTTGATCTAGTGCACTCAGATGTTTGTGGCCCTATCAATCTAGTACACTTAGAGCAAGCAGGTATTTTCTTACCTTCATTGATGATCACATTGACAAAACTTTGGTTTACATATTAAAAGAAAAGAAAGAAGTTTTAAACAAATTCAAAGAATTTAAGGATTTGGTTGAAAGACAAAGTTGCTATAAGATTAAATATTTAAGAACATATAGGGGTGGTGAATATATATCAAATGAATTTGAAAGTTTTTGTAGAAATAATGAAATTCTATATCAATTCACCATGCTATGCATACCTCACCAAAATGATGTCTCAGAAAGAAAAAATAGGACTATGCTTGATATGGTCCGATATATGTTAAAGGAAAGAAAAATTCCTAAAGAATTTTGGGAAGATGTTGTTGCTTGTGCAGTTTATTTGCTTAACAGGTTTCCAACAAAGCGAATTGGTAATGTTACACCAGAAGGAGCATGAAGTTTACAAAAATCAAGAGTTGATCATTTGGGAATTTTTGAAAATGTTACATTTGCCAAGATACTAGAAGAAAATAGAAAAAAATTGAAAAATAAAAGTCAGAAATGCATTTTGCTAGGTTATCCAAAGAATTCTAGTTGTTACAAACTTTACAATCCTCTCACAAATAAAGTTGTGATGTCAAAAGATGTTGAGTTTGATGAATAACATATTTGGAACTGGAAAAGTGATGAGCAGTATAAAAAATCTATAGCTTCAGAAGAAGATGATATAATACAAGCAAGCACCGAAGTGACTTTACCATAATCATCACCTAAATCAGCTAGGTCACATGATTAAGTCTAATTATAAGAAGGACAAGACCGATTCAGGAGCTATATGATGTGACTCGAAGGATTAATACTAACAATTATAAACTTTTTTTATTTTATCTTTTTGTAAAATATGATCCATTAATCTTCAAAGAAGCTTATAGAGATAAAAAATGATGATAAGATATGAATGAAGAGATTCATGCCATTAACAAAAATGATACATGAGAGCTTACTATACTTCCAGAAGTCCATCAAGCTATTGGTGTTAAGTGGATTTTCGAAACAAAAAAAATATAAAAGGAGTGAAGAAATACAAGGCTCGATTGGTTGCAAAGGGATACAAATAATAATATGAGATTGAATATAAAAAAATATTTGCACTAGTTGCCCGACTAGAGATAATAAGATTATTTATCTCTTTAGCAGCTTAAATGAAATAAAAAATTTATAAATGGATGTTAAATCAGTATTTTTTTATGGAATTCTTGAAAAAGAGTATATATTCAACAACTTAGAAATAAACTTGGCATGATGGAACAAGTTTAAGGGGAGAGAATGTTGGAATTAAACTTATTCAAGTACTATAAAGAGATTCATTTCATCAAAAGAAAGGTTCAATGCATCAATGGGAAGATTTTACGTCAAGAAAAAAAAACAGATTAAAAATCTGAAGAAAAAATAGATTAAAAATCTTAATTGGAGAAGGGTCAAATGCATGCATTTGGGACACTGAAAGAAGCTCCTAATTGGACAGAAAGCCTGAACGCTGTTCTGCGACACACATGGAGAGGGGGAGAGCAGCGAACGGACGCGTGCCTTCTTATGCGTACGCTGCACGCGTGTGCCATCCCGCCGTTAATAAAAGCCAATCCGCATCCGACGGCTGTATGCGACCCGGACGTGACGCGAGGATTAGGGCGAGATTAATCGAAACCCTAGGCAGCGGCTGGAATCCGGGCATCTCCCATCCCTTCGAGGCGTGCCGCTATTTAAGGCGCTCCTCGCTGACCCCTCGCCGGCTACTCTGCCACCACCGCTTCCCATCGCCTCCTTCCCTGACCACGGTGACAGGTAGCGATCGCTTCGACCGCCTTCTCCGCTCCTTCGCTTGGTTCTTTGATTCTGTTTTGGATCTTTCGATCGGTCGGGTCTAATTCCTCTTTCGTTTCTTCTCATGCGGCCAAGTGTAGACAGGTATCGGTATCAGTAACCATGTCGGACGAGGAACATCATTTTGACTCGAAGGCCGACGCGGGGGCTTCCAAGACTTATCCGCAGCAGGCAGGAACTATTCGCAAGAACGGGTACATCGTCATCAAAGGGAGGGCGTGCAAGGTCGATCTCTATTCCATCTTGTCTCTGTGTTCTGTTGTTCGTTGATTTGATGAACTTGGGAAGATGATCGTTTGTTGGGATTTTTCCATATAATTGACCGATTTATTTTTTGTTCTGTGGGGCTTA